CCATATTTTGTATACCACGTGACCAAAAAATTTTGATAGGCTAGTCAATAGATCTTGCGTATATGGGGCTCTTAAATGCTTTTTACCGAATCAGATTATCTCTTATAGTTAAAGAGATATAGCGTTTTCCGCATGCTGGAGATCACTTGACCGCCCCTTTATAATTTTATTAAAAATTCTTAAGTATTTTATAAATAAAGTCTTTTATAAAAATAAAACATGTACTTTAGAAGTACTTTAAGGATTCCATAGTTTAATAGTAAACAACATTATAGAGAAAATTAGGAGAAATGGAAATATTGTGGAGTTTTGAACAATTTTGATATAATTGTTTTATTTAACTGAGATTTTTATTAAAATTAACATCTGTAATTTACATTGCGCAAATTATATAATTTTAATAATAAAAAAAGATTACAGGTCTTTACATTTTACAATAAATAAAACATAAAATTTACGTTTAAATTATAAATAATTTACTGTTTATTATTTCAAATTTGATTTCCTAGTGGAATACAATTCTCAAAACAAAAAGTTTAAAACTTTTAAAAGCTATATATTTTTACATTATTAATTATACTATTAATATAATATGCCAATGATTTAAATGGTTATTTTCATATATAGTTCACTTATCAGAATATCTGTCCAAAAATGTATTAAACAAAATATTTACTTATTATTATAATTAAACAATATTTGCAATATTTTGTAAATATTTATTTCATTAAAGAATAAATAAGAATTTATTTAAGAACATGATTTGAAAGGCAAATGTTGTTTGATTACAGTATCGATCACAAAATGGTTACTTTATATCATATGAGTCTAATAACAGTATCGTTAGTACTTTTGGCCAAATCAGTGGTTTGTCAACCAATCCATGATAACGAACACAAACCTGTATATCAAGAGATTAATGANATCGATCACAAAATGGTTACTTTATATCATATGAGTCTAATAACAGTATCGTTAGTACTTTTGGCCAAATCAGTGGTTTGTCAACCAATCCATGATAACGAACACAAACCTGTATATCAAGAGATTAATGAATCAGATCTCAGATATTTGATTGCAAAGACTTTATCGCGTCATCCGTTAGGTATTTTGGGCCACATTATTGTTGAGGCCGTTGACAAGGCTGGTGTGGACGGACACAAACCCGGTATAATATCATGCAATCATTTATTATACAAATGTTATATATTATATATAAAATATATGTCAAACAATAGAGTCGATGTCAGTTCGGGACCGACGCTACCAAACGGCTACAAATCTAAACGATCAAAGTTTCCTCCGATTCGGTCGAAACAGCAATAGGAATAACAAACGACCCAAAGATACTGCCTATGACTTAAACGACCGGTCATTCCTCCGCTTTGGCCGCAGTTGGAGTCCCGAGAGCTAAGACATGCCCTTCATATCACTTATAATTGCATGTCTTTTAAGTTGTTATTAAAATAAATAATAATTATAATAATCACATAACTCTTGTGATAATTAATTACAGAATTCAATCTTATTTGTAAATTAGAAATTTTATTTAAAAATCAAACCATATTTAAAAACACAGTTTTAATTAACACTCGTTTTTATGTTTTAAAAATGAATTCGTGAACTTTTATTTGAGTGAAAAAATTGGTTACAAATTACTGTTTCAAATATATTGTATATGTTTTGTGATGTTTTCAATGGAATTACAATTTAATGCTTATATTTATATAAATTTATAGTTATTTTCAAGTTTTGATTTAAATAATAACTAAAACAGAAGAAAAAAGAAATAAACAAATTTAATCAAAAATAAAATCTTGAATTTTAAACTAATTTCGCGGTTTTTTCTGCATTTGTCGGCTCCGGTAAATGTCGAACTGCGGAGGCGGTAGACTCTCGTCGCCCTCCCCCTCCTCTTCGTCCTCATTCAGCGCTCGCTTACTATTGTTGGCGTTATTCTCAGCCGTTTCGACAGCAGTGGCGAAATACTTGCGGCCCTCTTGTGCTGAAACGCCTTCCGGACGAAGAGTGGAATCAAGTGTCGAGAACTTTGTGCGAATCAAAGCAATCAAATCATCGATATTGACAAACGGACCGTTGAATGACGACGGATGAGGTAATTGTGCCAATAGTGTGGTCACTGCTGGCGGCGGCGGGAATACACCCCCGGGTATCAGATTTCCGACTAAACAAACAGAAATTCAATTTAAATATTTTTAATTCAATTCTAAAACTTCTAAAAAGTATTATAAAAAACAAATAATGTTTACTTGGATTTGGTTTGGGTTTGAAGGGAACCATTTGAGAGAAGTCTGGTTTGGGAAAAGTGGTGAGACTTGAGGGAAGTGCGGCCGAAACGACATTAGCGACAGTGGGAGTGAACGGATTGTTTTGGTGCTGTTTGACGACATAACCGATTGACTTGAGCTCAGTCTGAGCGCAGGGCAATAGGTTCTGAAACTTATAGCGGTCGACAAGCCATGCGGTCTCTGAGGTCTGTTTGTTGAGTCTTTCAATGGCAACGGCTCTCCTCTTCTCCACTTTGATAACGGAAGAGAGGTCTCCGATATGACACTCAAACTCTAAAAACTTATTCCATATCTCACTATAAAATCCGAATAAAATAAAATCCGTTCAAATATAAGTTACATCAAAACAAGACTCGTTTACTATTGGTTTTGTTAATAAATATTAAAAGTCAATCAAAATTTTATTTGAAAGAAATGTCAAATCATATTAATAATAGATTATTAGGACAGGTATAGGATATAAAGATTCACGATATGCTTCGCCTAACGGATGGCTAAATGGATTGAATGAGTGATTAAATATTAAAATCGATAAAAATTCAGTGAATTGAGGGAATAATAATGTGATTTGTTTATCATTTCCTTATTATTTACGATAATATCAATGAATAATAAAAATCCTTTTTACGTAATCTTCTGACACATTATTGAACAACAATTCAGTCAACAATTTAACGACAATATATGGCACAGAATATGATATGATTTGAATGCAAATACCAAAACATCAACTTTTCTCCTATGAAGTGATGCTCTACTGTACAGTACTTGTACTGTATGTTAACGTAGAGTATAGGCTGAAAGTATTTACTGTTCTTTGTATATTAAATCTCAATTAGATTATGTTTTATTTAAAACAATTTATAAATTACTTGATAATTGATGTCTTATTAAACAAAATCAATCGAAACATTTGATAATAAAGTCGTTTAATTAATTTAAAGCCTAATCTCTAATTAACCCATATTTAAAGCCAGTGCCAAATCATGTAGAGTTTGTGTAATTCTCTTCTTACATATAAAAACTTAATGAATACATGAAACCGATATTAGCCCAAACTTAAGTACATGAAAATGTCATCAAAAACTTTAGATCAAAACTTAACTATTATTTTTGAGTGAATTAATCAAAACTAAAAAACGGAATAATGTTTAATTAAATTTATAATTAGATATCATTTTATAATTCGTAGAAAAATTCCAAATACTGTATATAAAACAAATTCTATGATTTTTATGATTAAAAATGAATTCAAATAAAAATTTTATTTCGTTTTATTTGAAATATTATGGAAATAATTTAAAAACATTTCTGAATACAAATGTGGCGAAGAGTAGCGCGACTTACAGTGACTTTTCCGGTGGAAGTGTTCCGGTAGTGAGGACTCTCTCAAAGAGCACTCGTATGTTATTCTCTTCATTCAAATGACTTAAATAATCAATATATGAAAGTATGAAATCTGGTGAATGTCCGAACTTCTTGAGCCCCAACTCAAAGATCTTTGACGTCACGTTTGCGTCCTTTATATCATAAATAATAACTTATAATCAATTCAATAATATTTACATCATATCAAAGACCAACTTTGTTGCAGTAATATTCCATGAGTGCGGCCGCCGTATAGATCTCATGCCCGGAGCGATTGTCTTCTCGAGCCCTTTTGAATACACTTCTGGCGGTTGCGATGCTCTCAGTTCGTCGCCTAAACTTCATATATTGAATGTAAGCCAGTGTTGGATCAAATGATGGCGTTTGGATATTTAGTAACTTCTCGTATATTTTAATCGATTCTTCCTTTCGGTTTCGCGACTAATAATTTATAGAATATTAAAATTAATACAATATAAATGAATCAATCAAATAGTTTCAGTATTAAAACTATATAAAAACCTCTTCAAAGTCCGCGTACGCAAAGTTGATTAAAACATTATTGGAGAGCAGTGTTGAGGTAATCCTTTCGTAAATAGTGGACACGTCGTCCAGTAATGTCTTTTGTTGATTCATATCTCCCTTCTCTCCCATCCATTTGCTCTTTTCATCCAAATAAGAGGCGTATTCGTACCAAACGTCCGGGTGATGGCCCAGACATAGGATGCACTGCTCGTATGCAAACACAACTGTCCATACAATTCATTATAAGTTATATTCAATGCCTTAATTTATATTATGTTTAAATATCACCTCTTTTAATGACTAGTGGAATATCTTCAGTCTTCAAAGGATTACTTTTCTCCCACTGAATGTATTTCCTCCAGAGTTCCACTTGTTTTACTTCATCGGCAGTGGTTTGCGGCGGAACTGCCGGTGCGTTACGATTGAGACCACGGGTGACCGCTTCAAACTCTTTGGCCACTCGCCGGGAATTCATGTAGTCCTTTGAACGGTCGGCGATCATCTTCTCGGCTATCATTTGATTAATGTTCTGAAATAATACACAAATTGTAATCAATTGTATGCCTATTGTGTGTCAGCCCTGTTAGCCTATAAGCCATTGTATGTCAGACCTGTTCGTAAGTGATATAATCCTTCCAAAAGGCCTCAATACTAGTCATGGGATTAATGACTCCTCTTTGATACACTCTTCTAACGGCAGTAATCTTCTGGTTCTCAGCATAACTGCCGACGGCCTCCACATTCTTGAGGAACTGGACGTAATCGTTCCAAATGGGATACGACTGGATGTCTATACCGATCCTATCGAGTGCGAAGTCGTACGCCTGAGCCATCTTCTCGCGAAAGTTTGCGAATGAGATCTTTGTTTCCTTTTAATTCATTGTCATTAGTATTAGCGGTATTTCAATACAAACGGTAACCAAATTTTGTCTCCAATATTGTTATATAATTCAAACGCTTTTAATTAATGAGAAACTTTAAAAATAGCCTAAAAGGTGTGAATTATATAAATACTTGAGATATAGTTTGGTTGAGAACTCACTTTAATATAACTTAAATAACACCTCCAAAGATCAATATTGAGAACTTTGGTTAGACATCGCTGGAAGAGCTATGCATACGAATCAAACATACATTGAGTGAAATTTATGCCGATATATACAGTAGTTATTGCTTTTCACATACCTTTTCTACTCTATCAAAACAACGAGATTTCATCTGTCAATCAATTAAAGTAAACGTTATTTTATTGCAATTTTAAAGAATTAGTTGAATCAAAGAATTAAGAATTAAATGTAGAAAATAAACAAATCTTCTGTGCGTTATATTATGTATAAAAATTTAATTTAATTTTAATAATTTAATAAATTCATTAAAAACTGTGGTTTTTATTAAATTTCTTTATATACCGTAAATTGTTATAACATATTATGAATGCTTTGTATCGATCGGTGCGTTGATTACACAATTGAATTGATCTCATAGTACGGATAAATCCAATAATAGATTTGTAGACAATTAATTAACGGCGAAAATAATTAGCATTTCATTCAACTTATAGTTTTAATCGATAAGAATATTAACCTTAATTTGA